TAATTAATAAAATGATATATAAATGCACTTGGTCTCTTCAGTTTTCAAGAGGCATGCGTACTAAATCGTCATGATTGTATTTTTTTTAAGGGTGAAATCCTCCATATTGCAGCCTATATAATGACCACTCGGATGAGAACATTTGCATGCATAACAGCCTTGCAGAGCAGAAACCTTTCCAAAATGCATTCTTGATACATACTTGCAAGCCAAACTCGCATCTACGCAATAGAAAACCTATAAGAATTAGTTTAGTGAGAAAATGTGAAATACAGAAATTTCAAAGATGAACATCTAGCAAAAACGGAGGACATCTAACTAGAGCAATGAGTGCCTATTCATGATGAGGTAAACATACCTTATTTATGATCTTTTTAATTGTAAGCTGTATTATTTGTGAAAAGTTTCTATAAAATGTTTTTATTTTATTTTATTCTATTAGGGTACATACATTTTACGAAGATAGATACAGTGAATGGAATGGAGTGATTTTGGAATTGAACTCAAGTAGGATCAAAATAGTTTGAAGTAATTCTTTTAATGTAAAGGAAACAGGTAATTCAATAGGTTGGAAAGAAATGCATTTACATGAAAATTTATATATTAAACAAACATTTTATTTTATAAATCAGTTTATTGTTTACTGAAATAAAAAAAAAATTAGGTTATTGGTTTAAAAAAATGAGATTAATCTACTTTTTATACTTACAATTTTATTGAAAAGGAAAAAACTTAAATATTTATGATTTATTACAATTTGATTGTTCATTCTAATACACAGTTTTGAGAGAAATAGTTATTAGATCACTTACTGAATTTTTGTTTTTAAAAATTTAAATCAGTTGTTAAATTAAAAGACGGTGCATGCCCAATACTTGCGCAGAGATGAACAAATTTAAACAAATAATCATGAAACTGATATAAAGTAATTAGAAAAATGATATATATATATATATATATATATATATATATATATATATATATATATATATATATATACACGCACAAAATATTGATTTTACTCATTTAAAAAATAGATTTTGATACAAAATATGTTATATTTAAAGTTTAATCTGTTGAATATATTATATTTAACTGCATTAGAAAGATAATAGTGGTACTGGGTATTAATTGTATAGTATTAGCATGTATTTAGTTTTATGTTTTTTTTTTTTTTGTTTGTTTAAGTATTCTTCGTGTTTGTTATAACAATTGGGTTAATGATTTCTTTACTTTTTATACTCTAAACAAATTAAATCATTTATGATCTACATTAATTTATTTAATTTCAAGTCATTTTTGAGAATTTAAAAATAATAAACAAAATCGTAACATATATTTTATTTTGTATTTTTGTATTTAATCTTTTTTAATTAATACTATACTATTACAGTATTACTTTAACCAACCATTTGATTGATTTCTGCATTATTTGTATGAAAAGTTATATTGCATACGTTATATTATTTTTGAACTTCATATCCATAATTATGTATAGTTTTAGAACTGGTCCCAATATTTTACTTCTTACACATTATGCATTTTTGGGCTCAAAAAATGAAAATATCCAAGGAAAGTCAATTTATTTGCATGAGCATATGGATATCGGTAATCACATCAATTCTCAAAATGATGACATACCAATTCAAGGTGTACAATTCAACACTCCGACAAGCAATGAATTTCCAAATGGTCTCAACATTGTTAACATGTGGGGACTCTACTGTTTGTTTGAACACTACACAAAATGTAGTTTACAAATAAATTTTCAATAATTTGTAATACTTTTGAATTTTCAATGTCATAACCTATTTTTAATATTATTCTGTATTTATGTAATACTAATTTTACATCTTACAATGCATTCGGTTTTCAAAAAATATTTATACTTCAATTATAATAAGAGTTAAGAATTATTAATAAATTCTTAATATAAATACAATATTTCTAATTTTTAGTCCGTCCATTGCACGGGTGAAATACTAGTTAATTAAATAAAGACATATTTCTATAATAGCCCGTTTGGTTCACAGAATCAATTTGGAGGGAATAAGAATGTTATTCCATAGGGAATAGAATAGAAATTTTATTTTGTTGTTTGGTTCGATGAAGGAATAAACTTTGGGAATTGTATTCAAACGTTTGGTTGGTTAAGGAATAGAAATAAAATATATGTTTAAAAGACATAAGTGCCCTTTGTACAAAATGTATATTATTATTATTATTATTATTATTATTATTACTATTATTACTATTATTACTCATTGCCGAATCAGATCATTAGTATCTAGTATCACCACTAGCATACACAAAATCATTTCATATTCATCCCTCAAAACATCATCATAAAATCATAATTTCAATCACCATTAAACCAATTAAACCTTACCAAAGAAAGTTATTTTTAACGATCCAATGAAAGTTATAATTGATAGCAAGGAATCTTCTGATCCATTGTAGTCTTCGATCAGAATCAAAACTGAGAAAAAAAAAACTACTTTATTAGGATGATCAGTGAGTTTAAACGAAACAAGGTCCATTTCATCATGAATCAAACCATCAACCTCTTTTAATGCACGTCAAGCTTCTGAAACACATATATTCAAATACATATTAGAATAAACAATATAAAGCAACAATACACCCCCTAGTTTTCATCAAGTTAAACAACCTACATGCATCATCTACTCTCTTGGCCTGACACAATCCCAAAAGAATAACAGTATATATGATTTTATTTGACAATATCCCTCTCTCACTCATTTCATCAAACAGCTTAAGTGAATCCAATAAATAATTACCATTACTAATTCTGCAGGCTTAACACAACCTCATTAGCACAGTTTAATTTGCAATCTAAACACAAAATCTATTCGTTCAGTGCAGTAGCTATGATTCGGTGATATAATATCTCCTTAAGCAGATATCATTAACAATCTACTAAGCAAACTTTAATTAAGTTATGAAAAGCATTGAACCAGAAATTGGTACTGCCCACGTGGAAATCAAAGCTGCCGAAGTTCTGATCGTCGAAATCCACCGCCGAACCGGAATTGGTCCGGAGTAATTAATTCATTATACACAAATAATTAATTAATTTATAAAAAAGGTTTTAGAACAATACCTTGATATAGCTTGATGAAGAATTTCAATTTGATGATTAAAAATTTCAATTTGATGCAGTGGTGGAAGTGATGCCTTGATAGAGTGACGAGAGAAGATGAGTGACGCAGAAGATGTGATGAACAGAGTGACGAGAGAAGGTGGGATGAAAGTCGACGAGAGAAGATGCTATGAGCAGGAGAAAGATTATCGTAATAAAAAAAAGGTAAAAATGAAAAAAAAAAAAAAACATATTCTTGAGTGTTCAGTAATAACTAATACCGGGGGGCCCCAAGTAATAACTATTTCCCCTAGAGAAGGAATAGGACATTCCCAGGAACATTGTTCCTGGAAATACAAATGGTTACCAAACAGCGGAATAGGCCTATTACTGGGAATGCTATGCCATTCCAGGCCCCTATTCCGCGAACCAAACACGCCATAAGATTATTGGTAAAGCTCAAATTTAGATAACCTCTGTGCTGGCACAACAATCAAGGGAACATTATATTTTTCTTAGTGACTATCCCAAATTTATCAGATAGGTCAAGATTTTCACCTTTAGGAAGATGCCAGTCAAAGGAGTGCAACAGTGAACTCAAAATATAAATAAGCATTTTCTCCGCCAAGGGAATGCCGGCACAAATTCTCCTTCCAGATCCAAATGGCAAAAACCTATGATCATTACCTGTATAATCTAAACCAGAAGTTTGGTGAAGGAACCTTTCAGGCCTAAACTCCAAAGGATTGTCCCAAAGTTGAGGGTCTCTATGTATTGCATACATATTCAGAAGGACTCTAGTGCCCTTAGGAATTGTGTATCCGCCAACTTGTGTAGTATGAGTTGGGCACCTAGGGACTAGAAGTGGTAATGCAGGGTATAAACGGAATGTCTCCTTCACAACTGCATCCGAATAGCTGAGCTTTGGTAGATGGACCTCTTCAACAATATTGTTTATTCCTACAATCTCATCTAATTCCTTTTGGACCTTTTTCATTATCTCTGGATTATCAAGTAATGTTGTCATAACCCACTCCACCATTGTGGATGTGGTGTCCGTCCCCCTATCACAATATCCTATATAAAAATAGTAAACTATAAGTTGAAAAAAAAAAGTAACAAAGTAATTAGCAGCTAGCATTGGTTCAAAAAAAAAAAAAAAACAGCTAGCATTAATAATGACTTTTAATTATAAAGTAAAATGACTTTTAATTCTAGACTACGTAAAATGGTATTATATGAATTAAATTTTATATTACTTGAAGTAATTTGTTTGATTTACTTGTAGCACTTTTAGTAGATTCAAACATTGCAACCAATTGAAGCATAAACAATACTACATATACCAAAAAAATTGACTTAATATTCAATTTAGTCACTGATTATAGTGATTTTTCTCGATTTAGTCTTAAATGTCTTTTTGTGCTTAATTGAGTACTCGACTTCGATGATTTTACCTAATTGAGTTCCCAGTAACTATAACTTGAAAATTTCTCCTCGATTAATGCACAATTTAATTTTTGACTGTAGTTATTTTGCAGAAATTAGTCCTTGACTATAGTAGTTAATACCTAGTTTAGTCATCAACTATATATGGTAATTTTTCTCGATTTAGTACTTTATTCTAACAGCTGATGACTCAATTAGGTAAAATCATCAAAGTCAATGACTGATTAAGCAGAAAATGACGTTTATGACTAAATTGAGAAAAACCACTATAGTCGATAACTAAATTTGTATTAACTCAAAAAAATTTATATAAATTAAAATTTTGTATCATTTATATGAGTTTATTTGATTAATAAATTTTGACAATTCCTCATGTAGTGAATATGGAAGTTAAAGACACTATTTGATACAAAAGTTTGATGGTGCAAACAATAATTCCCTTTTATAGATGATGTGTTTGTGACAATAAATTATTAGTGTGTCGAAAATGAATATTTTCAACTATTAGAAAGTCATTGGAAATGTCAAGCATCTTGTGCTTAGATGACATGTAGTGACCTTTCTCATATGGGAGGTCACGAGATTGAGCCTCAGTGGAGGCGGAATAGATACTATAGTGTAATGGAGTTAGTAGAAAAGTGATTGGATATTGGGTCAAGTGAGATTGTCTCATGAATCCTATGCTCAAATGTTATACTAATCATGAATGAATTTTTTGTTCCTTATAATTGAAAATGTAATACTTTTTCATTTTTTAGTAAAAGTATTATATTTTCCATCAAAACTATTACATTTTCCATAATAAGTAATGTTGGCAAGTGCTCCTTACTTATAAGAGAAAATATAATACTTTTGAGGATAAATGTAATACTTTTAAATCGAAATGTAAAAGTATTACATTTTTCCTTAAAAGTATTACATTTATCCTTATAAGTAACAAAAATTTTATTCCTAATTAGTATTACATTTGAGTATATATATGTATGACATTTGTGTATCACAATCATTCATGTTTATCAAATATATACGTGAATTGGTGAAATTCTCTCTCCCTGGTATCTAGGGTTTTTCATCTCTCTCCCTGGTTTCAAGGGTTTTCATTTTTTTCACCGCTTCCGGCAGCTTTTTTCACGTTTTTTCCCCGTTTTTGATCGTTTGCGTAAGGTGTGCTGCTTCGTTGTCGCTCTCTGGTCTGTTTACGGCTGTGAGTTATGGACGTTCAAGGCATAGCGCAGGGTTGTGTGGAGATCACGCTGGACGATGAGGAAACCGGCGTCCGGTTTGAAGAGGAGGCGGGTGCGGTGGAAGCCGAGGGTTTTGAGCAGCAGTATTGGCAGTTGGTAGGCCGTTTTCTGACCGATCGTAATGTTAAGTTTGATGTGATGAGGCAGGTTATGGCCTCCGTGTGGAGGCCATTGATGGGAATACAAGTAACCGAGGTGCAACCGAATCTATATCTCTTCACTTTTTATCATGATACGGACAGGGCTTATGTGTTGGAGAGAATGGCCCTTGGGCATTTGAGAATGCCACTCTGGTATGTCAGTCTTTGCGTCTTGGCGAGCATCCCACTCAGGTAACATTGAACACGATAGATTATTGGATACAGGTACACGACTTGCCAGTCGGATACTGAACAGATAAGGTTTTGGAGAAAGTGGGCGATTCCTTATGGCTTTTTGTCCGTTTGGATGAAAGGAATTTTGTAAGGCCGTGGACTAAATTTTACAGGGTCAAAGTCACGGTTGAAGTAACGGCACCGTTAAAAAGGCGTATGAAGATGATTTTGCGGGATAATACGTGGACATGGGTGAATTTTCGCTATGAACGTTTGCATATGTTCTGTTATTTTAGTGGAAAATTAGGGCATACGGATAAATTCTGTCTTGATGCACGTGTGTCCGGGCTGAAACCTGAACAATATCCATTTAGTGCAAGTTTGAAGGCGGGTGGCAACTCACCGGCAAAGGTGGTTGGGGAAAATTGGTTGCAAAAAGGGGAGCAAAGGCACCGAGAGTTAGGGCTTGGCGGTGGGGAAGGGGATACTGTTCGGGTTTCATGCACGCATGCAAACCGTACGGGGGGCGGGTCGGTTACACTGGAGGAGGGTCGCCATGGTGTGTCGGGGGTGGGGGGTGCTTCGGCCAGTTGGTGCAGGCCGGCCTCGGTGGCTTATAGGGGAAGCCTTCGGGGGGAGGGGGAAGAGGGAGTATGGGTGGATCCGAAAAGGAGAAGGGGTGAGGAGAGGGAGGTCACGGGAGGTGTGGTGGTGGAGGAGGGGGTGATGTTGGTTGATTCTGATTCTACTGTTTTGGCGGGACCTGTTGATCAGGCCCGCCCTTCCCAATGAGTATTCTAAGTTGGAACGGCCGTGGCTTGGGCAATCCACGGACAGTTCGAGAGATTGTGGACCTGGTGTCCAAAAGGAAGCCGGATTTTGTGTTTTTGATGGAGACGATGGTGGATAGGAGTCATGTGGAGAGGCTCGGTGTGAGGATTGGTTTTGAGAGTGGTTTTGGAGTGGATAGTCAGAGGTAGAAGGGTGGTATGGGTTTCTTATGTGCAAAAAATAATAGTGCTCCATTGCTCAAGTATTCACAAAATCATATTGATCTAGTGGTGTCTTTACCAAACCGTCACCATTGGAGGCTCACTTGTTATTATGGTTTTGCTCAAAGCACGAGGAGAAGGGAGTCGTGGGACTTTCTACGATCACTTAAGGATGTATCTGACCATCCTTGGGTGGTTATAGGGGGCTTCAACGATCTTCTTTATCAATCCGAGAAGAGGGGTGGACTGCCACATCCAGCTGGTTGTTTGGAAGGTTTTGGGGAAGTTCTTGTTGATTGTGGTTTGATGACTATTCCCATGATCGGGTACCTTTTCACCTGGGAACGGGGTAAGGGGACACTGGATTGGGTAGAGGAGCGGTTGGATAGGGTGGTAGGGGATATAGCTTGGAGGGATATTCATGATAAAGCCAGGCTATATAATATTCAGACACTGATGTCGGATCATACGGCCCTTTTTTTGGATATTTATGGCTCAGCTACAACACGGAGGCCGTGTAGTTTTCGCTTTGAAAATGTGTGGTTGGAGGATGAGGGGTGTAGGGGGGTGGTGGAGAATCAGTGGTCAAACACGCAGGGTATGGGGTTGCAGAAGAGGTTGTGGACGTGTGGCCAGGGTTTGAAGAAATGAGGAGGGGACCATTTTCATAAATTTGGTTCCAGGATTGATGCTATAAGGCGGGATATGAATGTATTGAGAGGCCGTATGGACCCGGATTCTTTGGGGCGGTTTAGACAGTTGGATGGGCAATTGTGTTCTATTCTGTCGCAGGAGGAGACTTTCTGGAAACAAAGGGCCAAGCAGCACTGGCTACAGGGTGCTGATCGGAATACAAAGTTCTTCCACCAATATGCCACACACCGGAAGAGGAAGAATTATGTTTTGAAGCTCAAGGATGGGAATGGGGTATGGAAGGAGGGGATCGCCTTGTTTCGCTGGTCATGGATTATTATTCACAGATCTTTCAGTCCAGTGGTGAGGCCGGAGTGTTTCACGTGGATACCCTCACATCACATGTCACACGAGAGCAGAACGATGATCTTCTTCGTCCGTTTGAGCCTGAGGAGGTGAAGCACACTTTGTTTTCCATGGGGAAGGATAAATCGCCAGGGCCTGATGGCATGAATCCGGGCTTCTACCAGGCTTTTTGGGATCTCGTTGGTAAGGATGTTACTGATTTTGTGCTTAATTGTTTATTTCAATCATCCTTCCCCCTAGAATTGAATGATGCGAATATTGTTTTAATACCTAAGAAGGCAGCCCCTGAGTTTGTTGTGGATCTCAGGCCTATTGCTTTGTGTAATGTGGGGTATAAAGTAATGGCCAAGATGATTGCTAATAGTATGAAACCGCTACTTGATAATATAATTTCCGAGTCACAGAGCGCTTTTCTGCCAGGCAGGCTTATCTCGGACAATATTCTAATTGCGTCTGAGGTTGGCCACTACCTACGAAGGAAACAGTTGGGGCAAGTAAGGTGGGCAGCACTCAAATTAGATATGGACAAAGCCTATGACCGGATGGAGTGGTCGTTTGTGGAGCGTATGTTGTTGGGGCTGGGGTTTGATGAGAAATGGATCGGACTAATTATGCTCTGTATACGGACAGTCAGGTACAGGGTGTTGGTGAATGGGAAGCCGAGCGAGGAAATAATCCCGTCTAGGGGTTTAAGGCAGGGAGATCCACTCTCTCCGTATCTGTTTATTATATGTGCAGAAGGCTTGTCTCTGTTGTTGCAGGATGCTGAGGCTAAAGGACGAATACATGGCTGCAGGGTGGCTCGTGGGGCACCACCCATTTCGCACCTCTTCTTTGCGGATGACAGTTTGCTCTTCTTTAAGGCAAACATGCAGGAAACTCTGGAGGTGAAACATTGTTTAGAGATTTATGAACAGTTTTCAGGGCAATCTGTTAATTTTCATAAATCCAATATCTCTTTTAGCCGTAATACCAGCTTGGGGGACAGGAACGCCATTGCTATGGGGCTAGGAGTTGAGCAAGCTGATGATTTTGGGAAGTATCTGGTCTCCCCTCGGTTATTGGTAGGAACAGGAAAGTTGTTTTTTCATATGTTGAGCAAATATTGAAGCAGAGGTTTGGTTCCTGGAATAAGAGGTTGCTTTCTATGGCAGGTAAAGAGGTACTACTGAAAAGTGTTGCACAGGCTATGCCCACCTACACTATGAGTATCTACCTGTTGCCTATGACATTATGTGCTTCGCTGGAGAGGTTGATGAACAGATACTGGTGGGGTAAAAGCAATGTAGTGGATGGTATTCACTGGATGGCCTGGGATAAGATGTGTGTACCGAAGAAGCATGGTGGCATGGGTTTTAAGAGGCTGCATGAGTTTAACTTGGCTCTACTAGGAAAGCAAGGGTGAAGAATGTTGACTAGCCTGGAGTCCTTAGTGGCCAGGATCTTTAAAGCAGGACATTTTCCTAATGCTACTTTTTATGAGGCCACTTTAGGTGGTAATCCAAGTTATGTTTGGAGAAGTATAATGGCCAGCCAGGATCTTGTTCGTAGTGGTTGCAGGCGAAGAATTGGCAATGGAAGAATGACTAAAGTTTGGGACCACCCCTGGTTGCCTGACTCCCAGGATCCGTTTGTACTTTCATATCAGACTGCGCAACATTCTGACCTGATGGTGGCAGATTTCATAAATTATGAGCACGGGAATTGGAATCAGGAATTAATATCACAAATATTTATTCCCAGGGATGTTAGTTTGATTTTACAGACCCCGGTGTGTGTGGATTTTAAAGATGATTGGTTCTGGATGGGTGATTTAAGGGGAGTTTATACGGTTAAAAACGATTATAGGCGGCTTGGGGAGATTTATGCCCCATGTGATGCAGTATGGAATAACATTTGGAAATTACAGGTACCCCCCAAATGGAGAATTTTTCTATGGAGAGCTATCACAAATGTTTTACCA